CGACATAGCGTGATTCGTTTCCGGTCCTGTCCCCCCCCCCTCTCCCCTCTCCCCCCCCCCCTCCCTTCCTCCCCCCACTCTCTCTGTGTCATCTACCTATTATCTAACGCTATTATCTCTCTCTCCATCCTTCGGCTGTCTTGGCTGGCTGGGGAATTCTGGGAGTTGAAGTCTACCCGTCTTCCCGTAGCCAAGTCTGAAAAGCACTGGAAGGTAAGGTGAAAGGAATTAACCTAAAATTAGCCGTCCTTTCAACAAGAGGCAACATGCAGAATAATTCTTTGAACTTCCTATTTATAACCTATTTCCAACTCCTGTAACTGTAGCTAAATAAAGTGGAATTTTTACACGAAGCCTTCTTGGTTTTCTTGAGCTGAATTGCAGATAAGTCCTTGAATTACGACTGAAGTGGAGCTTGCCCATCATGGTAGTAGGTCATGACAATCGTAAATCAGGTCAGACTTGATTTTATGATCTTTTCTGCAATGGTCACTTAGTGAATCATGGTAAAACATGGTCATGTGATTATAGAACGACTAGAAATGGCTGAGGGACCAAAGTCATGGGGGCTTTCAGAACTTCAGAACTGAGTCATAGGAACTGCCAGGGAAATCTGACATAACTTTGAGGGGCCGCTAAGCAACTGGTTGTAAGTCGAGGACTACCTGCCCATAGAGATGTGGATACTATCCATGTTTATTGCACCCAAAGGCTTCCTGCGACCCCCTGCTGATTACAGGTAGTCCGTGATTGACAGCCACAGTTGGCACCCAAGTGCTTGTTAAGTGAGTCACATCCGCTTTTACGACCTCTTATGTCATGGTTCTTAAGCAGATCACTTGAAGCTGTTTTATGTATCTTGCAGTCATTAAGTGAGTCTGATTTCTCCCCTGATTTTGCTTGCAAATGGTAATCACATGACCCCGGGATATTGCAACCATCATAAACTCTGGCCAGTTGCCAAGCACTGAAATTTTGATCATGTCACTGCGGGTATGCTTGTAAGCATGAGGACCAGTTGTAAGTCACTTTTTTTCAGTGCTGTTGTAACTTTGAATGGTCACTTAACAAACAGTTGTAAGTCGAGGACTATCTGTATTGTCTCCAACCTAGGAAAAGAATGGCTCCAGATCCTAGTTGTACAGATAAAATGAACCTTGGTATTCTACTTGATCATAATATTCTACTTCTTTTTTTTCCCAAAATTTTTATTAATTTTTAAAAAACAAACATATACAAACAAAACACAAAACATAAAACATCTTTTTTGAAAGCAGCTTGATCCCGGGTTACATCTCTTCGTACAGACATAAATTCAAGTTGATGCTCACTTTTATATACCATTCCATATCTTATTGCCATTCTACATTTTCTATATAGCTTCTCCCCTCTTTTCACTCTCTTAATTCTATTTTATTTATTTCATCTTAATTTAAATCATTATACTTATATCCTTTGTCTGTCCTGTTTCAGCTGTCTATTATCTTTTCTCATTAACACAAAATTTCTCCTGTTATCACTGATTGGAGTATGACGCCTTTATATCTTTCCCCTAAATTTAACACTTAATATAATACATAACTTTCATTCGGATTCTGCTTAGTACATTCTAAAACTATTTTAAGAAAAGAAAAAATTATAAATATATAGTATAATTAAAACAACAATCAATACCAATTGAACTCTATCATTAAAATTAATATTCATTTAAATCTTAAACATTTTACACATTCCTTTTCAAATGGGTATCATGCTTCTATGGGAACAGATATAAATTTTATGTAATTACTTCCTCCCCATTTCACTTATATTTTAAAACATTATATAATTAAAATGTTCCCATTCCTTCTTAGTTCAATTCTCTCATATTTCATTTCATTTATTTTGTTCAAGAAAAAAAAGTTTCACTGAATTACATTGAATATTTTATCCCATTTTATAATCATATGTTATTCCAATTTTCTAACATTATTTTTTAATACAAATACAACAGTACAGTCTTATGTACCTTTGCAGAATCTCTTTTTCAGTTATATTTTACCCAATATCTCTAAATAAATCCTGTTTCTTTACATCTTGTTTCAAACCTTTGTAGCTTCTCTTCCCTTCCTTCCTCCCTTGCTTCTTCATTCTGCCCTTTTTACCCCCTTGTCTCACCATCTCCATTTCCCTCTTCTGTATTCCTCTTTTCTGTTGCTTTCTAACATTATATCCACTTTTCACCTTATTTTCCCCTTTTTTGGTTGGTTTTTTAGGTCTTAAATTCTCCATTCTCTTTCCCCCCTTTCCCCTTTCTTCCCCAGATAAAGTTACTTGTTCATTAAAGATGGCTTCTTCTTTGTCCCAATCTTCTTGTTCTTGTAGTTTCTCATATGTAGAAATTGCCATTTCTAAAAAATGAAAAACGGAGCCAAAAGAGCCCTTCCCTTCTTGTTCCTCTTCTTTATATTTTTTGAATTCCATTTTCAGTTCATCCACAAGTGATGCCATTGTAAAAAAAAAATTAAACAACCACCCAAGTGTTTTTTATCATTGAAATATAATTTCCAAAAGTCCCAGAGTCACCAAGCAGTCCAAATACACACAAGCTGTTTCATTTAACACTTTCTTCTTTTTTCACATTCTCTTCCTGGGGCTACAATTCAGTTACAAAGTTCCAATTAAAATGTATCTTTTAGAAGTCTTGTTACAATTTAACTTTAGATTCTTTTAAAATTCCAAGCAGTCTCCTCCAGCCAAATCTTACTCTTATTCTTTTCCTCTCCCTTCCCACTTACAGCAAGAAAAAGTTTTTTCAGTGATCAGAAATATTTATTGTCCCCTTGGCTTTAATTTTCCAGTTTAATTACCTGCTGATGCCAAAGCGGGTTTTTCCGATTTCTCATTCATCTGCTGTCACCGTAAGGAAGGAGAGTAAGAAAAAACAAACTTTCCCTTTTCACTTTCATTCGCTGCTTCCGGATCTTCTTTGGGAGCGATGTATCCTGTTTTAAAATTTAAATTCCAGGGTATCTTGAATGTTGCTTCTTATCCCAGTCAGCCAAAACTTTCACTTCTTAGCTTCCTCCTGCACATTCTTTTCCGGATGAGTGCTTCTTTCTGGTGGCCATTTCTGACCGCCGCTCTACTGCCTTCGGAAAAGGGAGTTAAGCCAGCTGGGGAGGGGAGGTGCAGCTCCCCTCAAGCCCTGCCGGGTCTCCCCTATCTTCAGTCACCTCTACAGGGTGACTTAGCCCCAAAGCCAGGTGGCTCGGGGCACTCCAGCAGCGAGCGCAAGCAGAAATCACGCACGATCGCGGATTCCTGCTGCCGCCGAAGCCCTACAAACCGGAAGTTCCCATAATATTCTACTTCTTGATCATGATGTTCTACAGATTCTCCTCAACTTACAAACATGTATTTAGTGATCACGGGAATATACTGAAGGTCATAAGTGCAAGGACTTCTCACTTTTTTCCATGCTGTTGTAATTTCAAACAGTCACTCAATGAATAGTCATAAGACAAGGACTATCTGTACAACTCTTCATTAGTATCCACAAAATTCATTTTCTTGCTTTGGTGCTCATGTTTGCTGTTGTTCTTCTTCTTGTAGGCCATCAAGATGGATTACATTTCCTACAGTGGTGTGCCGAGGTTCTTGACGAGGCCCAAAGCCTTTGTGGTCTCCATGGGCAAAGATGCCACCCTGAGCTGCCAGATCATTGGCAACCCCATCCCTTTGGTGAACTGGGAGAAGGACAAACTCCCCATCCAGACGGGAGGACGCTTCAAGATGGTAGAAGACGATGACCTTTATCGTCTCACCATTTACAACCTGAGCTTGGAGGACAGTGGTCAGTACATCTGCCGGGCCAAGAACACAATTGGGGAAGCCTTTGCCGCTGTCAGCATCAAAGTCGGCGAGCAGACCACGGTGACAGAATCGGCCCCATATTTCATCCAGAAGCCCACATCCATCCGAGTGATCATGGGTGAAGACGCCATGTTCAAGTGCATCGTCCAAGGTAGTCCTCCCCTCGCCATCAACTGGGAGAAGGACGGGAAGCATCTGGGGAAATTGTCAGACTCCAACCGGATCCGGATTGAATCCCAGGGCGAGAAGAATGCTCTGAAGATCCAAAATACTCATTTGGGAGACAGCGGGACCTACACTTGCCACGCAGAGAATCCTTTAGGATCCTCTAGTGCAGCTGCTGCGTTGATGGTAGATCTTCCAGATTCATACAGCCCAGGCAGCACGAGACACAGTATAGATGACATCAGTAGCAAGACCTCTCCGTTGTTGTCCCACATGCAGAAAAGACGAGAAGAAATCCGGAAGGGCGATTTGTCCAAAGTAGACTCCTTGATCTCCACTGAAGGACGGTCCAAACTCGGATTGAGCTTGTCCTTGGATTACGAACGGGCTGCTAGTTTGACCTCCAAGGGACTCCGAGGCGATGGAGGTTCATATTATCGGGTCACCACCCGGAGTTTCACTGTCACAGAGGGCAAGCACGCCAAAATGAGCTGCTACGTAACCGGAGAACCCAAACCGGAGACAGTTTGGAAGAAGGACGGAGAGGTGATCATGGAGAGCCGGAGACACATAATTTACGAGGACGAGCAAGAGAATTTTGTCTTGAAGATCCTCTTCTGCAAACAGGTCGATAATGGCCTCTACACCTGCACAGCTTCAAATTTGGCGGGTCAGACCTACAGTTCTGTGTTGGTGACCGTAAAAGGTGAGTAGCCATAGATCCTCCATTGTGTTGCACAATGAGCTCCAGACCAGAGAATTTGGTAGGACAGACCTATGGTGGTTCATTGATAATCGTCAAAAGTGAGTAGCCATAGAATAGATTCTCCATTGTATAGCACAATGGGCTCCAGACCACAATTTGGCGGGACAGACCTATGGTTCTTTGTTGGTGAATGTCAAAGGTGAGTAGCTGTAGCTCCACCTGTCTTCAATTTATGAAGATTGAGAAACACTGGTAGAAGTTGTAAGGAAATACCCTCAGATTGGCAGTCGATTCAACAAAAGCAGGGCCCAGAATAATTCTCTTGACTTCCTATTTACAACAAATAGGTAGTTCTCAACTTACGATCACAAGTGAGCCCCAAATTTATGTTGCTAAACTAAACATAATTCCTCCCCCCATTTTATGACCTTTCTTGCCACAGTTGTTAAGCAAATCCCTGCAGTTGTTAAGTTAATAACATGGTTAATAACATGGTTGTGAATCTGACTCCTGCATTGACTTTGCTTGTCAGAAGGTCACAAAAGGGGATTGCGTGACCCTGGGACACTGCGACCGTCATAAATATGAGTCAATTGCCAAGTGGCCAAATTCCGAACACATGACCACTGGGAGGGAGCCATGGTTGTTATTGTGAAAAATGATCAGGAGTCACTTTTTCCAGTGCCATTGTAACTTTGAACGGTTATTAAATAAATGGTTATAAGTCAAGGACAATATGTAGTAGTGTTTTGTTTTTTTTAAGAACATTTAGCTTCACAACTAAAAGAAGACTGTTAAAGTATTTTTAAACTAGAAGAAATCTAATCCCAGGCATATCTTCTGCAGTAGTAGGTGCCAAGGAAGTAAACATGTTTCTTGGCTAGTTTTACAAGGAGATTGACATTAGCAGGGTGTAGATATTCAATTTTCATGTTCAGTTGGATGGTGATTTGATCCTGTGTAAAAATGGATCCTTGATCTCAAATCCATAATTCACTGACATTTTCTGAATCAAGATCCTTAAAGACATCAAAGTTTCAAGTAAGCACAGAAAGTAGTCCTTGATTTATGACCAGTCACTTAGTAATGTTCTGAAATTACAATAGATCCTAGGAAAAGCTACTTTGGACCCAGATTCAAAATTTTGATGTCCTCCCTCCTGGTCACCTGGCTCACTTTGGGCGCTTGGCAACCAACCTGCTTTATGACCATTTTCAGCATCCCACGATCACATGCTTATGATTTATGATGGTTTTGCTGGAAATTTATATCTTTTTTAGAACAAAGACACCCTTAGTGCAGTGATCGCCAACCCGTGGGCTGTGAAAATTTTTTGGTGGGCCGCAGGGTAATGTCACCCCCAGAACACCCCACTCAAAGCAATTAATCTAGGCTGCACAGGAACATAAGGCTGCGCCACCCACATGGTCCACAGGAACCCTCCCCGCACATTCACTCCTTATCCAGCAAACTTATCTGCTAAATTGCTATTTTTCCTTTTCTTTTCCCCGACCATCAGCTGTTCTGCTGTGCCGGGAGATTTAGATTAGTTAGGAAGCAGGAAATGGTTGGATTTCTTGCTTTCTAGCTAGTCTTTAGGTCTTCGGCTTTGCTTTTAAGCACAGCCAAACCTCCCTTAGGACTGAAGCTTCTATTATCCAGTGCAGACTCACGGCAAGCAAATTTTATGTGACAGGCTGAGCTAGCCAATGGCAGATAGATAGATCACTGAATAATTCTGTGAGCAACTCAATCTGCCTACCTGCTTTGCCTGATTTTGGATAAAAATTGCTTTTTTTATAAAAAATTCAATATTTATATAAATATTTATAATATTTACATATAAGCCACACCCAGCCAGTCACATGACCACCAAACCACACCCACAAATTAGGCCATGCCCACAGAACTGGTTAGTGGTCCCTGGAATTTAAAATTATGAGTTTAGTGGTCCCTGAGGCCCAAAAGGTTGGCGACCTCTGCCTTAGTGGACTAAGTTTACTTTATGAGCGTATCATTCATTTAATGACTGTAGCATTCTCTTGACAACCATCAGATTGATTTAACGACCACTCCAAATATATTGTAAAATTGGTGTGGTCACATGGTGTCCCGTTTAAACTTCATGATTTATGGTTGTAAGTACAGATTCACTTATGGTTCATTTCTCGCAAGAAAAGATCATACAATGGGGCAAAACTCACTTAATTATCTTGCTTAGCAATGGAAACTTGGAGCTTTTATGGTCATAAGATGAGGATTAACTGTACTGCTGTTTCACTTAATCGTAATGTTCTACTTGATCATAACATTCTACTGATGTTCCACTTGATCATAATTTTCTACTGATGTTCTACTTGATCACAATATTCTATTGATATTCTACTTGATCTTAATGTTCTACATTCTCTATTTGATCTAAATGTTCTACAGATGTTCTACTTGATCACAGTGTTCCATTGATGTTCCCCTTGATCATAATTTTCTACTGATATTCCCCTTGATCATAACGTTACTCAATCATAACATTGTACTGATGTTCTACTGGATCTTAATGTTCTACTGATATTCTAAATCATAATGTTCCACTAATGTTCTACACGATCTTAATGTCGTTGAGAACAATCCACACTTGCTGTTTGTTGGTTCTTCAGTCTTGTGTCTTACCAACTTCATTTTTCCATCTGGTTCTTCCCCAGAACCGAAAATACCTTTCAAGACAAAACTCCAAGATTTGGAAGTTCGGGAGAAGGACTCCGTGATCTTCTTGTGTGAAGTGCCCTGTTCTGATATAGAGACCACTTGGTTCAAAGAGGAGACCAGACTTCAACAGAATGACAAGTACAAGATTGAAGAAGATGGGATATGCCGCAAGCTCACCATCCAAAATGTCACCATGGATGATGATGCTGTCTACATTTGCGAGATGAAGGAAGGCAGCAGAACCATTGCTGAATTGAGCGTTCAAGGTAAATGAAGTCCATTGATCTTTCTCGGTAGGACTTCCTTCTACAGGTAGTCCTCAACTTATTACTGGTCACTTAGTGATTGTTCGAAGTTATGAACTGCCTGAAATAGGGAACTTACAACCCATATCTGATATTCCAATGGTCCCCTGTAACTGAAGTGAGGCAGTGATGCCGGAGTAGATATTATTATGGATAGTCCTCAACTTACAACAATTTGTATAATAACCAAAATTACAATGTCACTGAAGAAAGTGACTTATGACCATTTTTCACACTTACAACTGTTATAGCATCCCCAGGATTACATGATCAAAATTCAGACGCTTGGCAACTGGTTTGTAATATGACAGTTGGAGTGTCGCAAACTTATCATGTTTTGCAGCCTTCTGACAAACACTGGGGAAGCCAGATTCACTTAACAACTGTGTTGCTAACTTAATAGCTGCAGTGATTTACTGAGCAACTGAGGCAAAACTCACTTAACAACTGTCTCTCTTAGTAATGGAAATTTTGAGCTCAGTTATGATTTTAAGTCAAGGACTATCTGCATTATTATTTACTGAATGTATTTGCTGTGCAACTTGCCACGATAATTGGTGGTAAGTAAATTGAATTGGGAAATTGTGCAAGAACAAACTCATTTAATAAATCCAGGATTTACCAACATATAATATAGGAACCATCTGTCCAAATTTACAAGCCACCATTTACAAGCTGCCACCACCACAGCTAAGAATCCTGAGAATTGGCGTTCACACATACGAAGGGTGCTCATGTTAGTAAAATCAATACTCAGATCCTCGCACTTATGACCATCACAGCATCCCCACAATCTCATGATCAAAATTTGGGCACTTGGCAAGCATACCAGGATCATGTCATCTCCATTGGTGACCTTCCCAGCCAGCTTCCGACAAGCAAAGCGGGAAGCCGGATGTGCTTAATAACAATAGCACTTAGATTTGTATGCCGCTTTATAATGCTTTATAGCCCCCTCTAAGCGGTTTACAACCGTTAAGTGTTAACAATGGTTAATTGCAGTGATTCACTTAACAAACTTGGTGAAAAAAATTGCTAAACCAGTCACAATTCGCTTCATAACCCTTTTGCTTAGTAGTAGTGCAAATTCTGTTCCCAATTGTGGTCGTAAGTCGAGGACTATCTGTTAATACCCGTTTAAAAAATAAAATCATTAAAGGCAACTCAGCTCTGACCTGCTAACAATTTTTAAGCGGAGATTAAGCTTCCTTAGTCGATAATTCCAGGGGTGAAATGCAAGACCCCTGTGGCAAAGCACTAGTTATTTAAGAGGGTCATCCATGCTTGTTTGCATCAAAGGTCGAAGAAGGTCGTCAGAGGGATTTCTGTAACCTGAGTTCAGATCATGATGCTTGCCAAGCATTTGAACGGATTGCATAAAACTTATGTCGATGCCTTTGAACTCTGCAGCACATGCAGGTCTTCATCTGTTTAGTGACCATTTGAAGTTACAACTGTACTGAAAAAAATGACCATTTTTCACACATGACCATTGCAACATCCCCAGGGTCACACGATCAAAATTCAGATGCTTGGCAACTGACTCATATTTATGATGGTTGCAATGTCTCGGGGGTCACGCGATCCCCTTTTGCAACCGGCTGGCCAGTCAATGGGGAAGCCAGATTCACTTAACGACCAAGGGACTAACTTAACCATTGGAAGGGGTTCACTTAACGAACATGGCAAGAAAAGTGGTAAAATGGGGCAAAACTCACTTAACAAATTTCTCACGTAGCAACATACATTTTGGGCTCAGTTGTGATCATAAGTTGAGCACTGTCCACTTTACAAGCCAGGATTAGGAAGGTAACCTGGTTTGCCCTTAGCCAATCTATCTCTGTGTTTTTTGCTGGGTGGCTTCGCTGCAAAAACGCATTAGTGAAAATGCAAAAAGGAGGAAATTTTGGGTTTTCTGAGACTGATTTACAGCCCCGGGATCTTCTGGGTTCCCACCCAAATGAATTTTGAGATCCACTGAGGCTGATGATGGACTGTTCCCTTTAATGACTATTCCCAGCTCTGAGGTTTAACACAAAAGTGCACTGAGTGCACTTGACACAAAAATATGCAATAAAGTCAATGTAAGTTTCCATCCACTGTGAGTATCTTATTATATTTAAATTTAATAGGGGCCCCGTGCAGTGAGTCAGAACAACCATTATAGTTGATTGATGGGAAAGGTCTGGCTCCTGCGTGAGGTAATCCGCGCTGTGATTGGTTGCTGTGGGTGTGGAGGGGGCGTTCCCTTTTTTCCCACCTTTTTCTTCAACGTGGCCCTGCAATTTACCTCATGATGCTCCTGTTTGTCTGACTTTGCGGTATACGGAGATAGAAAATACATTTATTTATATAATACTACAAGTTCGGATCAGCCTCTCTGGTTTCACCTGGAAACCTGCTGCACGATGCCCTGAGAGGCTACATAAATCTGTCATCTATCTTTCTTTCTTTCTATCTGTCTATCTATCTATCTATCTATCTATCTATCTATCTATCTATCTATCTA